CAGTGACTGTGTGGCGGAATGATAACATTTGATTCCCTCGAAAAATAGGCGAGACCGAACTAGTATTCTAGGCAGGATGAAAAAACCCTCTGGAAGGCTAAGAGAACTTCAATGAAATAATTTCATTGCATGGAAATTTCTCTATCAGTCTCCTTAAATAATATTGACAAGCCTAGATAGACTAATTTCTTTAACGAGAATTATTTAAAATGTTGAGGCATCCTCACTCCGACTAACAGATGTCTTTTGCCCAGGAATTGATACCTAAAGCAGTCTTATTATCTTTTCCACTTGATTGTGGGCATCCAAGAAAGTGTGACATACTGCCAGTCTCCCAACTACTATCATATCTGTATTTCAGTCACAACAGCTTTATGGTAGGCGCTCTTCTGTTTGAGCAACCGTGGCATCTCAAATATTATCATGAAATTAGTGTAAATACAGGCTTTTAGGTACGGGCATAAAATGCCTTTTCCCACATTTATGCATCTCTCAATGAAATGTCTCACAGGCACAATAAGTTCACAATAAATGCCGCCATCCATTTTTTATAATCAACCCTTTACCCGCACCTCGTTCAATGCCGCCTGATAAAATCATCATGTAAGCATTATTTTTAACTTAATATATGCAGAATTTCGAGTTTGCCAGTAGATTTGATATATGAGATCTATTCACCTCTTTAGGTTTAAGGTGGTAAGGGGACTAGTAGTTGAATTGTCCAAATTGATGTCATTAGGCCTTACGCTTCCAATGAATTTCAATTTTAGAGCAGCTTTTTTGAAGACAAAGCAAAGGGAAATTAGATGAAAGCGTAAGGTCTACTCATATGATTGTGATACATTTCAACTACATGTCTCCTTATCATCTCAAACGAAAAAGGATGAACACACCTCAGATCCGGTAAATTACAAATCTGCTGATGCTGATTTTAGCCACATTTTTGTTTACGCGATATCAGGAGATTGGTATGCTGCGAAGAAAATTTTGGTTTCAAAAATGCTCTTGGCTTATAATCGTTGAACTCACTTTCGTTCTGAGGGAAGGTCTGTCATTAAGAGATTCGTAGACTGCAGCGAATTTTTCTGGGCCAGTTGTCGTTTGGCCTTACTGGAACATTCTTGCTGACTCTGTTCCCGGGGTCAACTCCCCCGATTCCGGTTAAAACTGGCTAAGCTTTTGTTTAATAAATAGGTTTTCGAGACTACCAGTAGATCTGATCTAAGAGCTGCATTTATCATGTTTCGTTTAAGATGATGAACGGTTGGTATCAGATCTACTGGTGGTCTCGAACTACTACTTATGAAACGAAAAGTAAGTAATGTAGTCGCTTGCTATAGCAAATACAACTTTACTTCATCGACAATCCCACGAGATAAATGTGATATAGGAAATACCTAGGCTTCATTGAAATTAGCATCTTATTTGTGACTTCATGGCAATCATAGATGTGCGGCGTAGTGGTGAACATTTCAAGATTTTTCGCTCCACTACCACGTCCCAGATTCGAGTTCCACCATGGGTTCGGATGGTGCCTATTTAGGCGAGGTTAAAACTACAGTTCAGTGCAGCCTGGGTAAGAATACCCTTTTGGAACCAAGGATATGAGAAATTTAATGAAAACATGAGGCTTAACCATGCTATTGTTGGAAAATTATTCTACCAGTCCTATAGCACCTTCAACAAAATCGGTGTTCTTGTGCTAAGTCTTCATCTTTCACATGACATGCATCGTCCGAACAGAATATCATTCTTGCAACCTTGAATTCAGGCTAACGAAGCAAAATCCTAGAAGACTGATGGGGGGATAGCGCCAGAAAGAATGTTTCTGTAGAGTCATTCCACAGCCGGACGAGGGGAATCCATCGTCATCTTTTGGTGAGATCCAATTTCCAATCTTTTCATCGTATCCGCTTAGTTGAAATGAAAATAGGCCTAATGATATGCATGTTTCTTCCAAGCCCTCTTCTCTTTGGCCTACCACGAAGCTTTCTTATGTCATCGTGACTTAGTGAAAATTATTTGTTCACTATTAAGAGGCCCGGCGACTCGCAGAAATGGAGAGAAGTTTGATATCTTGTTAGCGGAACACCAAAGTGACAAAAATAGGTTTAATAGCTGGAAAAGTGGATGAAAATATTTTATTGGTATATGCTGTAGCGCTAGACCGAACATTCGTTGTTTTTTGTGCCTACATTTTGTTTGAAGAGTATAGATATTAGTAAATTGGCCTCATTTAAAACCGAAAGATGAGTGCCTTAAAGTGGAGACAGCTGGATTATGCGAACAAGTCTTGTGCCCAGCGTGATGAGCTTTTGTTGGTCCCTCCATGACGGATATCTTCAGGGTGTTAGACTATGCCTTATTTAAGTTCTCTAAAGCACTAAATCGGAAGAGATGGCTAGTTTTATCATACTCAGTCCTTGTACTTAATTAAGAACCTTATAATTTAGTTTTACACCTCATGCTTCTCACTACGCGCTCGCAAGTGAATCGTGTACATTGGCTACACGCCTATTCGTAAACTTAAATTGTCTAAAAATAGGTAAGATTCTGAGATGTCTTATTGGAATCGCGAAATTAGGTATAACATGTCTCCAGCTGGCCTTCCTTCCTGGGCAAGGTTTTCGAGACTACCAGTAAATCTGATCTAAGAGCTGTATTTATCCTATTTCGTTTGAGATGATGAACGGCTGGTATCAGATCTACTGGTGGTCTCGAACTACTACTTATGAAATAAGAAGTAAACAATAATAGCAAATGCAACTTTGCTTCATCGACACTACCACCAGAGAAATGTGATATAGAAAAAGGCATAGGGATTTGGTGCTTTTGAGCAAATGATACGTTTTGCTAGAACAAATTCAATAATCCTTTTCATTCGTCTTTTTGCAATAAAAATCAAGAATACAACCGCATAAATTAAGTAAGCCTCTCTTTTTATGTGTATTTTTTAGATTTATCGCCATTAAGTTGCGTGAAACTACGGAGGCGGAGATCACATCTCGAATAGCCTTCACACTTGAGCGAAGCCTGTCTCAATGCCTAGTTTATCTGGGTCTGCGACAAAGTGACATCACTCCAAGCAGTGTGGCATTTTTTATAGTCAACGAGAGTCGGCTGGCCAGTACTCTAGAAAACCTGCAGGAGGATGGCTTCAAAAAGGGGGAGCAAATCGTTGGCCCTTTATTTATTTATGAAAGACAGCGCATTGACCTCAGATTCCTCGGCAACATTAGAGTGAGCAAGTCATATCGGAGGGATTCTCTTGTGTTTGGGGGAGACAACAATGTCTTCAACATCACCTACAATTCAGCCTTGAGAACCATTTTCTTGGTTAGTTAAATGATGGTGGCGCCTATTTTATTATCAAGAAACACCATTTCCCGTGCGGTGTTACTGGAACTGGTGCAAATTCTGCCCAAATAAAATGAGAACACGGCTCAATTTAGAATGTAAACTGAGTGCTAGACTTAACTGCAGTTTCGAAATCGCCTTAAGAGGGATTCGAACAGTGGTTCTTCGGGCTGAAATAAAAACATATTATGCCATAAGCCTTAAGATGTATGCCTTATATGTAGGTCAAAATCATGTCGACAAGACCGATAAAAGATCCTAAGTACAGTCCAGGTGCGATGTAAACGCCTCTTGGGAAGTTAATTGTGAAGTAAAGCCCCCTCTACGGCTCCTTGTGAGTATGATAAAGATCCCTTCTTATCATCATGTAGCCAGTGGGGAATCTTCTGAATAGGCCGAATGTGATTTTGGTTTATTTACAGCAGTACAAATCGCAATTCAACTTCATGCCAACATGATTCCTTCCCATAAAGTTCATACTCTACGTGGTAAATTCTTATCCACCAAAAATCCATCATAGTTAATTCTAAGGAGCAAATTACTGGAGGATCATCACCCCTTTCGGTATCATGTAACTTTTCCTTACATCTTTATTTAGAGAATTCCAGGTTCGAGTGCCCAAAGAGAAAGCAAAATCTTGGTAAAAATAGGATACACTGTCAATTACCGCAAGAGGTAGTGCTATGCTCAATTCATAAACTTCACACATTAAAGCATAGTTCTAGTCTGGAAAGTCTTATGACAATGCCCAGAGTCTAAGCGATAGGAGAATTGCGCGAATACGACGACTTCACTTATACTAATCAATTTGTGCTTCCAGCACAAACTAAGAGAAGTTCGGTTTTTATTTATATCATTGACTTACCACTAACATCCTTTAGCATACCAGGCAGAAATCGCTGCCAATGTGTGACATAGGGAGGTT